ACTTCTCGAGCGAAAGTGGCCTTGATGACTAAGTCGCAGACCCAACCGAAAAAAGCCAAAGTCGCGCCCACGGCATTATAGCGGGCCGCTTGCGCCTCCCGCACGTGATTGGCTGCGCAGATTTGGCGCTACTTTTGAAAAAATGTAGCTCTGCGAACTTCAAAGCTGCACCCATCGCATCTACCGCGACATACCGTACCCACAGCCACTTCAACGCGCACAGTCAACGCGCATATAGTGGAACAGAGCACCCAGAGGTACTTGGACTGATATTTGTACTCTGCCATCTCAAGACTGACCTCGCGCAGTAGCTTTCGCATTCCATAACCTACTCGAACTATCCCGACAACTTTCAGCAATGGCTTTCACTCCCAGGTACGACTTCCGCAAGCCTCGAAATCCCATCGCAATATGAACAATGCGCGAACCGCGGCACGTTGAGCAAGATGTGATTGCAGATACTACATATCTCGACGTCTGCTCGCTCAGCATGCGCGCTCCACGCTACGGAGAAGCTTGTTCTTTCTGAGCTGTTTTCAGAACAATCCAGGAACTACGAGCTTCTCCGTACTCATATACGAACATTTATCTGCAGCGCAGTTCTAACTTTTCACAGAGGCGGTCGTGGCGGCGGCGGACGTGGTGGATTCGGCGGTGACCGTGGCGGTCGCGGTGGCTTCACCCCCAGGGGTGGACGTGGTGGTTTCGGCGGAGGCCGCGGCGGTGGTGACCGTGGTGGCCGTGGTGGTGCTCCTCGTGGTCGCGGAGCTCCAAGAGGCCGTGGTGCGCCCCGAGGAGGTGCCCGTGGAGGAGCGCGTGGAGGAGCCAAGGTCATTGTTGAGCCGTAAGTCCAGCCAGCTCAAAAGCGCGCAAGACAGCTACTAACCACTTCTCTAGCCATCGTCACGCCGGTGTCTTCGTCGCTCGCGGAAAGGAGGATCTCCTCGTTACCAAGAACTTGACCCCCGGCGAGTCCGTTTACGGCGAGAAGCGCATCAGCGTTGGCGCCAGCACCGCGCCCAAGGACGGCGAGACCGAAGCCCCCTCCAGCACAGAGTACCGTGTCTGGAACCCCTTCCGCTCCAAGTTGGCCGCTGGTATCTTGGGTGGTGTCGACAACATCTACATGGGCCCTGGCTCCAAGGTTCTGTACCTCGGTGCCGCTTCCGGAACATCAGTCTCCCACGTTGCCGATATCGTTGGACCTGAGGGAACCGTCTTCGCTGTTGAGTTCTCGCACCGCTCCGGCCGTGATCTGATCAACATGGCTACCCACCGCACCAACGTCATCCCCATCGTTGAGGATGGTATGTACTTCGCGTTCCACCTTTATGACATTCGCTAACAATTCGCAGCCCGTCACCCTCTCAAGTACCGCATGCTCGTCGGCATGGTCGACTGCATTTTCGCCGACGTTGCCCAGCCCGATCAAGCCCGTATCGTCGGTCTCAACGCCGGACTCTTCCTCAAGGTTGGAGGTGGTATCGTCATCTCCATCAAGGCCAACTGTATCGACTCCACCGCTGCTCCCGAGGCCGTCTTCGCACAGGAAGTCAACAAGCTACGAGAGATGGGCATCAAGCCCAAGGAGCAGCTCACCCTTGAGCCCTTTGAGCGTGACCACGCCATGGTTGTCGGTGTTTACCAGCGTTCGCAATAGACGGAATGTTGAGCTACAATGGGCTGACGGCGCTTTTCTGATTTCAAACGATTGCATGCATGTGGTCATATACCTGTACTTTGACGGAACTCGGTGTTCACTGGCGTCAGGAGGGATTTGGTTGTCGTGTTTTGATAAAAGATCTATGGATGCGATTTTTACGTTCACTCAGGTGTAATATGGTGACATGATTGATTCTATCCATTGTCTCTGATCTCTTGCTTTCCGTTCTCCGCCTCCCCGTCTTTCAAAGGTTTGCGCATTTCGTTTGAAGTCGTCCCTTCCTCAACCGAATCCACAGGCAGGGATATTCCACCTACCATCCTCTGACCCTAGCGTCGATGGCGAGGGCAAAGAGCATGCCACAGACCTACGAAGAGTTAGAATTGTCGACACAGGCTCTACCACGAGGACTTACCGGTAGCAGAAAGAAGGAAGACCAGACCAGTAGGTGGCCTTTCGGGATTGCAAATCGTATCGCCGCACATATTGACAGAAATACCGGTACGTAGATGCAACCGAGTATGTATTGGAGCCCGGTGACGGCGTCATTGCTGAGTTTGTATTTCCTGGAGATTGCGTCGACGTGTACAACGACGATGTTTGTAAGGAGAAACAGACTGATCTGAAATGTGTTAGAGCGGATACGGATTTGATCTTCAGCGTACGTACCGGAATGAGCACTAGCCACGCCAACACCGCTGGGAACTTGTTCTCGCTGGTCATGTTGAAGAAGGCATCCATCGCGAACCAGACGTAAACCATGAGGCCAACCATAAACCTGAGAACGTCTTCAGCGACCATGGCGTGGACGCACTGGGAGTCGGCGACTGTAGAGGCGTGAACCATGTTGCAGGCGTATTCGTGGTGGTGGTATTTGTAGAGTTGACGGGGAGTGTAGGAGTGAGAAATTAATCATGGTGAGTGCCTTGTTGAGTCTTGGTTTGAATAAGATGGTAGCGACCTTCTGCCACGTGGGCTCATTCCCAGGCGGTATCGTTGGACTAAGGAAGTAGCTACCCTCTCATCACTCACTTTCACCTCGCCGACTGTGTTGACAGACCGGGAAGGGGCGGCTGCACCAGAAATGTTATCATGGAGGTGGCTCTGCTTCATTCATCATGCCGCGTCTCATACACGAGAAACACTGAACACCCAGAAGTATACGTTCACGCCGGATCTATATCTACCTTCTACCTAATTTGGACTATCGTAGTGCAGTCCGCACATCTGCTCAGGTTCTTACTTGTATGAGGTGGCCGTACGCTCAAGATACTGAACTTCTCTCCACTCAATGTATGATTGTCCAAGGTGGCCCCAAATTTCACGAGAATGTGATAGGTATCAAGCACTGGTAACGTCACATCACTTTTCCTGCGAACTGCTTCTGATCATCGTCCCCAAAAAGGTCTGGTACATGATTAAGTTGTACTCTAGTCGAACTACATTTAGAAAGTAAGTTATCTTCCCTTAACAAACTGACAGCACAACACAATGCAAGTCTTTGGCCTAGAACTTTTAGTAAGGGCAAGACCCGCAAAAATGAGATCCTCGTAAAGATTTCCGATTTCAAGATCTCGTGCAGCACACGTCGTGGCGATAAACGATGTGTTGAGGCGTGACGTCAGAGCAACGTACTTAAACAAACAACACCTACGCGAAGTTCACACCCCGCGAACACGTCTCCATACCGAACAATACCAACTCCACATTTTCAGACCCTCAAGATGGCAGGCCAAGCACCAGCACCCGCGCTATACAAGAACATCATCATTTCAGGTGGTGCACGAGGCATCGGTCGAGCATTGACTCGAATGATGCTCGAAGCTGGCCACCACGCCTACATCTTCGACATCGATGAGGAAGAGCTCGAGCACACCACCAAGGTCCACCTCAAGCAGTACTACGCCGATGGTAGGCTTGGTTCGGCGATCTGCGACCTTCGCGACGTCGAAGACATCCGTGCCAAAGTCAAAGAGGCAGCCAAGTTCTTCAACGACCGCATTGATGTGTTGATCAATAACGGTGGAATCGCGTCTCCGCAGTGGAAGGATGGCAAGACCATGGAGGACCTCTCGACCATTGATGAGTGGAAAGCGTATATCGACACCAACCTCACTGGTCCCTTCGCCATGTCTCAAGCTTGTATCCCCTACATGAAAGCCCGAGCATCTGATGTTGAACACGGCGCACACATCCAGAATGCCAACAACTCCAGTCCTGCAGGCCCATGCATCATTCACATCGGCTCCTTCCGTGCGCATCAGTCTGATCCGAACCAAGAGGGCTATGCTTCAAGCAAGTCAGGTCAGCTTGGTTTGATGCACTCCATGGCAATCAGCCTGGGTAGCTTGGGTATTCGAGTCAACCTTATCGCCCCTGGACGCATCAAGGTCGCACACGAGAGCAAGGAGGGCGACGAGAACGGAGCAGACTGGGCAGGCCAGATCAGTGAGAAGGACGTCTCTGATCACCCGACCAACAGGGCTGGAAGGCCGAAGGACATCGCTGATGCTGCGTTGTACCTCATCGAGGCGGGCTTCGTGACCGGTCAGGACATTACTGTTGATGGTGGAGCGCTCCGGAAGAAGAATGCCTAGAATGTGTCAAGCGATGAGTGTTTGAGGCGTACGAAGATCCAACGTGAGGGAAAAAAGTAGTATAGTTCAGACGAATAATGATACCCGATGAAAACAGCGTCTTGGTCAAGATGGAGTGATGGACAGAAAGTTAGTGTGTCGCGGAACAAGTCCGCTCGGGTTTAGTTCGCACGGGCCTCAACTTCGCCTAAATCTAGCCTTGATCGTTGACGCATCGCGAAAAGTGACGCGCATAATTTCGACTCGTTGCACGCGCTCTCTCACCCTGATGCTTCCAGGGTTGTACATAGTTACTTCTCGTGTCATTCCTTCCCTTCGTCAAGTTGGCTTCCATAATTAGCGCCACGGAGCGAGCTACGACCATTACGACTAATGTCCCATTCTTCGCATTGCGCCCACGATACGGTCGGCCCATAGCCCATACGAACTTCGCTGCCTTTACTCTCCGCTCCAGAGCTACTCCTCGGTTTCGCCCATCCATTCGAACGTTTTCGAAGATCTACCGCTTACCCCTCGATCCTGAACCAGTTGCATCTAAACACACGAAAAGCGGCAAGGCGAATCACCTAGCAGAAGCGAAGGTACTCACACGTCTGATATATCAACCCCCCAAAGCTCCAATCGGATCAGCCTCATGCTCCCTTACGCAACCGCCAAACCTTGAACTCTCCGAGCCCAAGAACAAACATACAAAGCCTCCTGTGGAGTTTAATAGAACCGAGTTCTTGAGAAGAAAAGACATGTCGTGCAGCGTTGAGGTCGTCACAACGCCTACGGCTGATACGCCGGGAACAACGCTTGTGCTGCGGACGGCAAGCAAGCACTATGTTTTCGGCAACCTGGCAGAGGGCACCCAGCGGGCGATGGTGCAGCAGGGCACACGTCTGCTGAAGGCGCAAGATTTCTTCATGACAGGCAGGACAGAGTGGAAGAATATGGGTGGATTGATTGGCATGATGCTCACATTGGCCGACTCGACCACCAGCTCTTACACCACCGCCATGGATACCTTTCGTCTGGCTCAAGAGCGGGGAAAGAAAGGCGAAGCACCCGCGAAGCCGCACTTCGACATATATGGGCCACCGAATCTGAAACATACACTGGCAACGTGTCGGAGGTTCATATTCAGGAAGGGCATACCCATCAATGCGACCGAGTACGTGAAGCAGTCACCCGAGAAGGACGGCAATGGTGCTATAGTTCCGACGTGGGAGGACGACAATATCAAAGTTTGGGCTCTCTCAGTAGCGCCTGCCAACTCTGAAGTCGATGCGCAAGCGGAGGCTGATTTGGAGGCGCGGCGACGGTATTTCGATGAACACGAGAATACATTTGACGGACTCCAGGCTCCCGAAAATGAGAGCCCGGAAGACCGCGAGTTGAGGTACGACCGGATACGAACAGCGACCATCAAGTACATGTTCGATTCGAATTGGAAGATGGATGCACTGGCAGAACGCCACATTTCTGAGGTACAAATGCCTGCTGCCATATTCATTCGTAACCCCGATACACACGGCTTCTCGGCCTACCAAGGTCCAATGCCAGGGGGCAAAGAGCCTCTTCCTGACATTAAAGTCTGGACCCGGACGCCGTGGCCTGGCGCTATGATTCTAGCGCTACCACCGACCAGGCCAGCACCAGAGTGTGTTTCGTACATCGTGCGGTCGCATTCAGCTCGTGGTCAATTCGACGTCGCACGCGCGAAAGCGCTAGGTGTCAAACCAGGACCGGATTTCGGAAAGCTTACCAATGGCATATCGGTACCGAACGCGGACGGCGAGATGATTACCCCAGATCAGGTCATGGGCGCTGATAGGCCCGGTCAGGGTATCGCCATCTTGGACATCCCCTCAGTTGAATACATTGAAAGCACTCTTCAACGAGAAGAGCTTAGCTCTCCAGAGGTTATGACTGGCATTCGAGCTATCGTTTGGTTGCTTGGTCCAGGCGTCGCAGGTCACCCAGATCTACTCCATTTCATGAACAAGATCCACAACGTAGAACACGTAATATCCTCTCTAGATACTGCGCCGAATCGCATCGCGCACGACTCGGTAACAGGACAAGCTACGCGACTTGGGCAGATTGATCCGTCAAGATATCGCACACCCGTTTTCGATAACACTACTGTACCGCAAACAAGTATATACAGGACTGGCATTACGACAGCATCGCCATTGCCCTCCGGAGCCATCCGCGCTGACCGAGGCTTTGGCTTTAATCTCATGCCGCAGTTTGCCACAAAGAAAAACACTATATCTAGTCTCTTCGTACCCGATGAAGTGGCACTTACAACGCCGCCTGAGGTTCTCGAATTGGCTCAAAAGGCTCAAGCGGAGGTCAAAAGCAAAAGCAGAAAGATGCAGATATGGAGTAAGCTACTAGCGCGTCGTGACACCGAGGTAACGACACTCGGAACAGGTTCTGCCCTTCCGTCCAAGTACCGTAACGTGTCTTCCACATTGGTGCGTGTTCCTGGCATCGGCAACTACCTCTTAGATTGCGGAGAGAACACATTGGGCCAGCTTTCAAGAGTCTTTCCCCACGAGGAGCTTGTCGATATCTTCAAGAATCTGCGTATGATCTGGATCAGTCACTTGCATGCCGATCACCACCTAGGCACAGCATCAGTAATTCGTGCTTGGTACCAAGTAGCACACAATGCTATTCCAAACCCCCAGCCCCTGGACCCTTCCGCGAGCAACATAGACCCTAGCGCATACGGTCTTGCTGTCGTATCCCACAGTGGTATGCTCCAATGGCTTAACGAATACTCAGCCATCGAGGACTTTGGCTACAGTCGCATTCTTCCTCTTCAAATCACTCCCAACGAATATCAGAATGGCTCGAGGTTGTCTATACTGAACTCGTTCGGAAAGACACTATCTGAGAACGCGGCCATACCGAAAAAACAGTATGAGAAACTGTTTGGTTTCAACGAAATACAAGCTTCCAGAGTAGCGCATTGCCACGGTGCCATGGCTGTTTCGATTACATTCCCACGCGATCCAGCAGACCTTGAACAAATCAAGCCACTCAAGGTCAGCTACTCAGGCGATTGCAGACCAAGCGGCCACTTCGCCAAGATCGGAGCAGACACCACAGTCCTCATCCACGAAGCAACTTTCGACGATGAACTACAAGGCGACGCAAAGGCCAAGAAACACTCCACCACTTCCGAAGCACTCGGTATCGGCGCGGCGATGAACGCGAAATCAGTAGTCCTCACGCATTTCAGCCAGCGCTACCAGAAGATCCCCGTCCTCCAAACCGTCACAGACGGCGAGGAAGCAGACCCACTACTCAACCCCCAAGAAGTCGCCGAAGACGTACCCATGGAAGACGACGACGCCGAAGTCGACCCCACAACCGAAAACGCAGACAACATGGACATGCACCCCTCCATCCCCTCTTCCACAGCCCCCGCTCCCGGCCCCGCAAAACCCATACCATCTCTCCCCAAGGAAACCTCGTCTTCGTTCCAAGAAAACGCCCGCGTTATCAAGGTGCGCAATAAGGATATGAAGGTTGCTATTGCATTCGACTACATGCGCGTCAAGATTGGCGAGATATGCGAGATGGAGAACTTTAATGATGCGCTCAATGAGTTGCTGGTCAAGGATGAGGATACGGATGCGGCGTTGGAGCCGGCTGCGAATGGGAAGGGGAATGGGAAGAGGGCGAGCGAGGATGATGGGGAGGGGAAGGGGGGGAAAGGGAAGAAGGCGAAGAAGGGGAAGGAGAAGAGTAGGAGAAATAACTGAGATGCTCTGCATGCGGTGTGGTGGATGGATGAGGATTACGACATTGATGTACATTATGTGTAGAAGGAATGGTTACTGATGTGTAAGTATAGACTAAATCAAAACAATCGTCACATGAATCTCTACATGATGTTTCATTATTATCATATCAATGGTTTATGTGCAACCCCGGTTGTCCGCCTGTCCAGCCGTGAGAGTTGAACAGTGTGCTAATAGAGCATGCCGTGGCTACCCCTAGATGCGACGCCGATATCGCCAAACGCCGTAATAGAGTGGGTATCATGCGCATCATCCCTGGAAGAACAACAAAAGACAAAGGGGGGGTTCTCCCGTAAAACTTATTAGTGGACATCTTCCTCAGCCACTGGGCTCATTATCCCAGGAAGGGTCGGTGCTGGCGAGCAGCATCTTGAAGACATTGCCAGTAGACGGCTCTGTGTCGACGATATCTCTAGGAACAGTGTAATGCCGCATATCGTCGTTGTCGAGGAAGTCCAAACGTTGTTTCCCGACCTCGTCGTTTCCGAATCGAATAAACTGGATACCGACATGCTGAAGCCGACCGGTCGCAACCAAATGTTTGACAAGAGCCGTAACGTGATCCTGTATGACTGAAACACAATGCTGACCTGGCGTCCATACGCCGTCGGTAAGGATGTATATGTTGACTGGGGGCTTTTCCACTACTCGTGAAGATAAGGATAATCGCTTGCTTGTCTGATTTTGGTGCGGACTCTGGTAGTAGCTCGGAAGAATATTACTGAGCGCGATGCCCATCTGGGATTGGCCACTGGGTTGCACCTTTTGAAAGCTTTTGATGAGTGGTGCACGGTGCTTGCTGCGGTCGTTGTGCCTACAGCTATTCGCAAACCGTAAATCAATACCGTCTGGATCCATGGACTTAACGAGGTAGGCTAGAGCTTTGAAGACATCTTTGACTTCACCCCAATGTTGCCGCATAGATTCCGAGTCATCGACGAGGAAGATCTGTTGATGATTGATCAGCAGAATACCAGTAGTCACTTATGCATTTTAAAATACCTGATCTCTGCCATGCAGCCTGTTGAGCCACTCCTCACCTGATAGTGTCGTGGGTAAACGCAATTGCTTCAGGCGTACGTGCTCCAGAGCCTGAGTGATGGAAGCTGAAGGGTGGGCTGCTCTACTGACAGGTGTAGTAGGCTGTGGAACATGACTGTGGATAGGAGCCAATGCAGTCCGTTGCCATTCATGCAGAGTATCGGCAGCTGGGCTGTAAGGTTCGCTTCTCAGAGTCTCATCTTGCTCGCTGCTCCACATACCAGAAGTCGGGCGAGGGGAAGGACGCCCATTGATCGTTGTGCGTCTTTCTGGAAGATTATCTGATTGATGCCTGTGTGCTTCATTTGGGAATGGCCGTGAACTCGCATCCATAGTAACTCCTAGCCCACTCGTCAAACTTGGGGACATATTGGCGGGCACAGAACGTCGAGTGTGCTTGTTTGGTGCGGGTGGTCGCTTAGTCGTATCTCGGACTAGTGGGACAGTCGTTGGTGTCGCTAATTCTATAGCTTTCGTGAGATCGTCGTAAACTGTTCGCGCATCTGGTCTTCTGGCCGGATCTTGCACCATCATTCTGCTGACAATGAGAAGAACTGAGCCAACAACATTGTCAATGGCTGCTCGGCATCGTTGGGTGACCTCCCTATGCATTTCTCCTACAACCGAGAGGACTTTGGTGGTATCGTGGAAGCAGCCGCTGTAGCCCGTGTTGCTGAGAGTCGGAACAGTACCGGCAGCTTCGACGCGCTGATGGTAGTAGTCATCCAATCCTCTTTGGCCTAACACAGACCATACCGCGGCTTCACTAATTACACAAGCCAAGGCCCAAACATCCTTAGCCGGATGAGCTTGCTTGATGCTTTGTTGCCGGGACCTGTCTGTCTCGCCACGAAAGTATTCGGGCGCACCTTAAAAGTATGTCAGGTCGGGCCAAGTCCGAACTCTGGTAGTAACTTACTGTACATCTTCGTACCGTGCACATCGCGAAGTTGTGTCTCGTCCGACTCATCAGCCACCACGAATCCAGTGAGACCAAGGTCTGCCAGTTTGAAAGAAACACTGTATGGGCTATCCTCGTCCTGATCTGATACGAGAATGTTGTCCGGTTTGATGTCGTTATGTAGCCTTCGAAGGTCAGTTTGAAGTAAGAAGAGAGGAAACCCCATGCTTATGAACGTACCCCACTTTGTATGAATGAGGATTATGTGGATCGGGAAGGCGGTGTATACAAGCTATTGGCTTGATGAACTGTATGAAGTTTTTCCAGAATTCCAGAATGTCTACCTTGGTCGTTGGCGGCTCGGTTCGTTTGAAGAACTCAGTGAGTGTGCCACCGCCAACATATTCGCGCAATATATTACAGCTTTCTCCCTGTCTCCACGAACCATAGAAGCGAGCCATGTGTTGCATCGCATCTCGGCCGCTCGGGTAACTCAGTAGTATCCTGTAAGCCTCTACTTCGTTGTTGTGCAACTTGGCGTAGTCCGATCGGCTCGATTTGAGGATGAAGAAGTTGGTGGGGGGTATGTCCAGTGCGTCCTGAACGCAACGAAGTCAGCTACTTGCTAATAATATGTAGACTTATGCGCGCGCACGCAGTTGACATACTGTGATGAGATGGTTGTACTCCTCGAACAGCTCAACCTTGAAGATCACCGCGTCCTCACCTTCCTTCAGTATTCGCTTCTCTTTGAAGGGCACAACGATGCTTTTGTCTAGCAGTATGTCGTGCAGTTGGTGAGAAACGAGCGGTTTTGGGCAAAACTTCCACTGTGCTTTGCAGAAGTCACCGAACATGTACTGCACGGTTTCCGGCCATGCGTCACAAGTAAGGAAGGGTAGCCTAGCATCTGCCATGTGGTCGTGTCGTATGAATGTTGATAGATAGGTACCCTTGTTTATCGAAAGTAGGATTGAAAATACAGCTAGATGACTCGTTCGGACAGCGTCCTCATAGCTGGGGGTGCTATCCACATATAGTAAGAGGCTTCGTGCTCTTTCCGGAGTAAGCCAGGATCGGAGGCTATGTAGTGATACGATCGGTCGGGTGGCCAGTGGTCGGGACTCAACTACGGCGAACGATGTGCACTCGTCTACGCGCTCGAGGAAATCGCGAAGTTCGGAGGGTCTCATCGTGGCTATCGCAGATGGTGCGCATCAGGTATTTTCGTTCGGCGCGAGTCGCGACAGGTATAGGGATAGTTTGGAGGGAAGGGGAAGTGGCATGAAGTTTGCGCGTAAGCCCAATGTGAGGTTGAAGCTTTCGCAAGTCTGAGCGGCAGGCTGAAGTCAGGCACCTGGGGCCTCGGGGAACTACTCCATGTCTGGTCGCTAAAGCCATCAGAGGAGGACCCCGCCCACAGCCTCAAGCCACACTCAACCGCACCTGCATCAGCTGCGCCATCGTCCTTCGTTGGTCGTGCCATCGCTGATCTGGAAATATTCAAACTCTTTACTCAAAGATGCGACGAGAGGAAATGAAAGTCATCGCGAACAGTGGATAGGTGACAACAGAAAAGTTGGCGGCCACGCGGCCACGCGGCCACGCGGCTGAGCGACAGTGACAGCTCCATTCTACAAACCTACCACAATGAACCTACTTTGGTTGCCATGACTGCGTACGTGCTCGTGATCAGTATCGATCGAGAATCGGAGATCTAATAACAAGAAGAAGAAACTCCCTTGTTGGCACGACGTTGGCTTTTAGGTCGAACAACGTGGAACCGCCAAGACGCATCGGTCCGCTATTGACCATGGCTCGTAGCCCAGGCTCGTTGATACGCTCGCAAGTTTCGACGGCTTCTACAGCGGGCCTGATAATTTGGAAGTCGACGAGCCCTCTGCATAAGATTGGATTCGCTTTCGGATTGACTGACTGTCAAATTGAAATGCGCATGAAGATCAACTGATCACACTAGCAAGCTAAGATCTCAACGAAAAACCATCACGACCTAGAGTTGTCTAGGAATCTATACATCTATGATAAAAGAGAGGAGAAATCGTCACCGTTCGACCTTCTGCTGCTCTAGTGGTGCGACCTTCTGGACATCAGGCCTCTCCAGACACCGCCCACCTATCCGAAATGCACCGTTGCAAAACCGAACCACGGCTTCCTCCAACAAGAAACAATGAGCTATCGCATGTGATGTAGATCGCGAACGCGCGATACGATAAGAGATCAGGCCTCCCCAACTGCTGCGGACCGGTCGTTCGACCAAGCTTCCCTTCTAGCGAAGCGATATATGCAGTACCATACGAGAAAGGTCAGACCGGTCGCAGGTAAAGCGATCATAAGATATAGCCTAAGACCTTGCATTTGCAAATCTTGTTCACCATCTTGGAACCTGAGGATATCGGTGCTCATGAAGGTCTAAGTGGTATTAGCTGGGTGCGTGTCTAATGCATGATATCGATTACTTACGGCGATGAAGGTTGCTGGAAGAAAAAATAGGGTCACAGTGGTAATCACTCTCATGGACACGGTCTCTTGCTTCGTCTTCATGGCAAGGTCTTGCATTTTGTCGGTCATTACCTCCATCCGAGCCGCGGACTCTCGAGATTCTTTCGCGTAGAATTCGCTAGCTTTGGAACTTCGATGCTGCAATATACCACTCAGCTGTAGTATAGTATTAACATACGTCCCCTTGAATCCACACAATATGGGTACTTACTAAGGTCTTCCTATTAGCCAGGAGGTGTAACAGCGTCTCAGTTCGTGACCGTAACATGTGCATATCTTTCTCAACTCCGACTATGCCTTTGCTGAACCGATGTAGGCTTGCTCTGCATTCATCCTTCAATTCTTGAGGAAACTCGGCATGCTCTGCAACTTCACCGTAATGCAGTCTCAATTGCTCAAGAACTTCGGTGTTCAGCTTCAATACAAGCATGGCTTCTTGTGCTTTCTCTTCGATATGCTGTATGGCTCGTAGATTATTGAAGGTGAACGTGTCCGACTT